TGAAATAAGTATAACGGACAGAGAGGCATGAAAGGGAGGACCTGGAAGGACCTTCTATCAATGCAGACATTGCTGTCCATACGGAAGGCTCCAAAACCGAGGAAGGGTCAGGAGCTGGTATTCATGGGGCCAAGCCAAAGAGAAGGATCTCACTGAGCTTAGGCAAATACGCGACGGTGTTTCAGGCAGAAATTATTGCAATATATCACTGCGTAAAAAAAATGATGAGGCAAGAGTTTAAAGGGAAAATCATTGCAATCTATTCGGATAGCCAGGCGGCAATCAAAGCAGTTAAGTCAACGCGAGTTGACTCAAAGCTAGTCAGAACAGAGTGACTCTATGATGAGTATGAGCACATACAGGGTATAGTGCAGCGGAACACTAGGTTAAAGTTATCAAAAAAAATTTTTGAGAGTAGAAAGATATCAGACCCTCACTATCCTATCTAGAAACTATTGACTCATTAGAATCCAGCTTGACTACTTTTTTCTATGGTACCAAAAAAAGTTATGAACGAACAAACACAAAAATTACAAAAAAAATCTACTTCGCACGTAAATGTATAAAACTTTGTAACTTGTAGACCACATAACTTAGATGCCTCAACTTCTCATCATTTTGTTGAGGACATTATGAAGATTCGATTCATGGCATATAAACTGGCAAAATTAGGTTTTTTATAAGTAAAAATAAATTTGTTGTCATGCATTACATGAATAATTTAGCATTAACACCCCTTCAATTGATAATAACTTTCTTTTTCACGATATGAATTCCAATTTTTTTCTCACATCTAGACAGATTGAAGTATAACAAACAATTTGTTTCGAATAAACTTTTCGCACGTTTCAAAAATAAACTTTTTGTAGCGCTTTGAATGACAACGTGCAACTGTAGATAGGCTATGCACAGTGAGTGAGACAGAGTGCGATAGATACTGGTGCATGAGTGCGGAGCGAAGATGAAATAATATCAAGAGCTCCATCCACAGATATGATGAATATACTAGATTTATATCGATAAATTTACATATTTGCTTGCTGAGAATGTCAATTTTTATCACATATTACTCTGAAAAACTAGTGAAAAGTTTGTTATCATAAATCTGAGACCCGATGATGCAACACAGTATCTGGAAGAAAATAACACGATTACCTATATGCACTGGAAGATTTGGATTCTTCTGGTGAATGTAACATAATTATAGTGTATCTGCAACCTCATGAATGCACTTCAAGGATACATTGTTAGTTACAGAATTATTCATTATTATGAGGAATTATAATTTTGTCACTAAAATATTTCGATGGATTGATTGTATATCAAATTATTTCAATGTTCGCAAAATATATAAACAATTTAATCGATTCACTAATTATTATTCATACATATATCATTGTTATTCAAGTAGTTGAAGTCGATCAACATGTACTTATTTGCATTTGCATTTCAAATTATCGTCTCTATGGCATTGTCTTTTTTTTCAAAATTGCATGATTTGTCAGAGCAAGAAATATTAAGCATTTCTTGTATATCTCTGGATGTATAGGTGTTAGAGTTGAAGATACTGATGATTTCAGTAAACTTCCATCATGATCATTGCAGTTTTACTCTTGCAATATATTTTATATTGTATTGCACAGCCAGGAATGAATTAACTTTCTATACAATTTGGGTGAATTTCGTTAATCAACAAAGTTATACTTTAGTACGCACCTCGGTACGAACTGTGTGAATGTATTTCCTGTGAAAGAAGTTCGACAGAAGACTTGAAAGTATTGAAAGTGAATTTGTGTCTTATTAGCTGATCTAAGGTCGTAACATTAGCATCTTCGTTTCCTATATGTATATAATTCCATTACTTACATAATTCCTTGCTATGTCCACATAATCAAATAATGTTGATGAAGTAAACTCTCCATGTCGTCTTTTTTTTCCTAATATCTAATGCAAAATCTTTCCATTTTTGAAAATAGTATCACTTTAATCAGATCCAGTAAGGGCATGTAGAGCCGGTAGTTTCTTGCAAAATTCTATTCCTATAGACCATTAGGTACTGATAGAATTAACATAAATCAAGTATATGAGAAGTTTGACTGCATGGCCATTTTGGAAATAGAAATTTGTATTTCAAATAATAGAATCATGAGAAATACAGAATGATGACAGAACATCAGTATCATCCGACTAAAGAGAATATTACTGGAAGATTCGGATTCTTCCAGTAAATGTAACATAATTATCTGTAACCTCATGGTTGCATTTCAGAGATACATTGTTTGTAACAGAATTATCCATATTATTATCCTACATTCACCCTTCCGATACCTCGATCCAGCGATGGTTTATTTCGGAATACTAAATGTCTGAATATTATCACAAATTAATATTTTCGCTAGAAATATTACCAGGTTATGTTTATTCCTGGACGCCTTTGAAAATCACTGAGATTTAGGAACGGAGCAATTTCCTTTTTTCGAAAACTTTTATAATTTGTATCTCCTCGTCTTTATTGCTCTATTAGCTGGTAGAGATTCTACGATCATATCTGTCGAATACAATAATCACATAATTCGTTTGGAAATTTTTATTATTCATAAACAGAGCTGACCTAATTCACTGAATGTTCTTATCAACATACCATCTGATCCTATTCCTAGGATATACTGTATAGACTCACCTTCTTTATTCATTGCATTCTTCTGATGACAATTTGAAAATGTTCAAACTTTTTTGACGTAGCCTCCGTTCAAAAACTTCATCCACTATCATTGTTTGAGCAGCATTCAAACATGTCATAAAAATTCTTCAATATTTTTTGATATACTATTAATTGTCCAACTGCAATGTTCATTAATTTTTTTGGGGACTCATGTTTAGAAAATTCTAACATCTCCCAATATCTTGTTGGTCTTTTTTTTATACCATTTTCACTTCGTTGCCTTTGAATTGAATTATTTTGGGACAATATATATCCATTGTAAGAATGTTACTAGCAAAAGAATCATCAAGAAAGCTCCATTCGCAAATGAGACAGTTATCCATCCCGAATCTTTACTGTTTGTTCTTGTCTAGAACACGTAAACGTCGCTGTATCGTTCTCACTCGTGCGCTCGGACGACCTCTTACGTATAAGACAATAAACGCTTCTACAAAGTTTATTTTTGAAACGTGCGAAAAGTTTATAGGAAACAATTTGTTGCTCACATTTCAATCTATCAAAAGATATCATAAAAATCGAAATTCATATCGTGAACTGAAAAGTTATGATAAACTGAAGAGATGACACTGGAATTTTTTTAGCGAATTCTGTACAAAATGATACATTTTGGATCGAAAAATAGTTCAGTTTTCCAACATATTATATATGAATCGAATCTCCAGAATATGCTTAATCATTCTATGAAAAGACTGCGTATATAAGTGCTATAATTGTGAAGTTAAAAGGATTATATATTTACGCGCGAAGTCATTTTTTTCTTAAATTTTCGAGTTTGGCCGCTTATAACTTTTTTCGGTACCATAGAAAAAAGTAGTCAAGCTGGAATATTATGTATTAATCATTTATATTCAAGGTGGTGAAGGTCCCATATCTTTCTACTCCGAAAAAAAAAAGTCTGTAAGGAAGAGGATTTTGCCTCGTTCTCCTCTACACTAGTACGAGGGCAATGAAGAGGCAGACTCACTCGCCCGAGCAGGAGCAAACAAAGCTCTGAATGACCCAGAACCCTTTTGTGGTATTGCGTAAGCCATACAATAGACAAGTATCAAATCATGGATCCAATCTAAATCCCAAGAATGGTGGAACAACTCACCAAGAATGAGACAGGCAAAAGAGTTCATTAGAATCTACTGAGCCAGAAACGAAGTACAACTAGAATACTAATGGGATTTCTCACAGGGCATTGTAGGCTTAACAAACACATGAGTACGATAGGTCTAACTGAAGAACTGCTGTGCAGGTTCTGTCAGGAAGAGGAGGAAACAGCAGTACACATACGTTGCCACTAATAGGGCTCGTCCAGACTAAGGTTCCTTACGCTGGGTGAGAAAAAACCGAGAGCCCAAAGTTACAAAGGGGATATAAAAGCCTATGGAGTCTCATTGAGAAGTTGAGAAGGCGGGGCTAGCCAAAAAACTCTAAACGATTTTGAGGGCAGACACAATAGATGAATGAAAAGGTGGAGGCAGATAGCCCAAAGGCCTCACTCTAAATCCAATCTAATCTGATCTAACTACGGAAACTATTATTCTTTCGAGAAATACTTTGTCATCTAGAATACAATCATATACTATACATTCGCGAAGAAAATTTATTTTCAAGATCTAAAATTTCCACTGAACTTTGTTTAGTTAATTCATCTCAGTACACATGATAAAGCTAATTTTCAGCAACACAACTGTCGTGTGAAAAGTGGAGTTCCGTGAAAACGTGCCTCTTGAAATTATTCTCCTTCGTTCCTATAGAATTAACTTATCAAAATAGTGGCGTATAGGTAAAAACTCCAAACATGTAAGGAATTTAATCGGGCTATGGAATTTAATACTTTTCCGATTTGTTGTTTGAATTCATATTGAAAACTTGCACCTTATAACAGACATGAAGGTTTCGAAAAATACTTCACTACGTCAATGTTAGTCACTCGGTACACTTATAATATGTACGATGGTATGAACATTCACAATGACTTGAAAAAAAACGTGTTCACACATTGCAATTTTTCTGCGACACACAATTCGTTTCAAAATTCTTTTGCTAAAACACCCAGCCTTGTCCAATCCAATGTAAATATAACAATGTGGAACCGTACGATTTCAAACAGAATGTTTACCATTTTCAATAGTCCTGAGCGTGCAATAATTCCCGAGTCTAATAAGTGGAAAACTTGTCGAAAAGTGTTTGAAAAGTTTTCGCATTGCCAACCCAGAACAATGAAAGGCAACTCCTCCGAGCGAGCATGCCGTTAAAGAAGGAAACGAGAATCGTGAAGAGAGCTTACCCAAAAAGCACAGCAAAATAATACCCGATGAGGCACGAAAAACGCGGAAAACCGGCACAGGTTTTCGCTCTGCGAACTTGTCTGCGAATGTGGCCGTTACGGCTTAACCCCGTCGCACAGTCGCGTGCTGTCTTTCGCAGGCTTGCGCCTTGTCTGTCGTCTGACCCCGCTCGACTCCCAAACTCCTGTTGCTTCTTTCACTTAACTGTTCATCTAGATACTCCCCCGATGAAAAATACCCCGAATACTCCATATAATGTGTTTATAACTTCTCTTCATCACTTCATCGAGAAACTACCGAAAAATTACAGCCATAACTTCCCTCTCGTCGTTATGGAACTTATTTATGAAAAAGGATGCTCTCAGCTTCTTGAGAAATACTGCAGATGAAGTTGAGATTGCGAATCGTGGTTAGATACACGAATACAGGAAGAGGTACTGAGTAAAATCATCAAAATATTTACAAAATTTCGGCAACAATAAGGGTATCTGGAATGGAATCCCAATGATTTTGAACGAATAAAATTTGGGAATTAACGCGCCACCAAAAAGTTGCCAAAAGTTGAGGAAACATTTTCATTAAAAGTACTTGTCCGATTTGGATGTTTCTTGTTTAAAATGACAAATTACTTCCTTCTGAACATTGCGGTGTGCGAACTGTATTCGCATAAGAGCTTCTTTGTCATACACACCATCTGTTGTAGCAATTACAGCGTGTTTGTTCCATGAAATCTGTAATACCCTGTAGAGTGGTGTAATAGTAACACTATCGAGTCAGAATTGGAACCCCACTTTAGCCTTTTTTTGTTCCAACATTTCTTTTTCGGATTCACTTCATCATCTTTCTATCTTCCAACCAATCCCCAAAAGAAGAAACAAAAGCCTGCCCAACAATCATAGGCCAGTTGCCCTGTTTTCAGCAATCTACAAAGTAATGGAAGAAGCCATCAACATTGAGCTCATCAAATATATGAAGAGCTCAGGAATCATCAATGATAAACACTATGGCGTTCGCCACTGAAGATCAACTGGAGAATCACTTGCCTACGTCACCCATATATGGTCAGCTTCATTAGAAAAACAAGGGAAATCTTCAGTAGCTGTGGCGTTAGATATATCGAAGGCATTCGACCATGTTTGGCACCAAGGACTGCTCCACAAACTACGACTTACCACCTCAACTATGCCATCTTTCATTCAGTTTTCTTTCAGGCTGATCGTTCCTTGCATGTGGTGATGGACGGAGTATCGTCGGATACCATTGCCATCAATTCCGGCGTTTCACAAGGATCAATTTTGGCTCAAACATTGTTCCTTCTTCATGTATTCATAGCCTGGGGAACCTAGTTGAATTCAACGCCACCAAAACTCAAGACTGTATTTTCTCTAGAAGAGTGTAGCTCAGTATGTCTGATATAACAATATCTGGTACCACCATTCCCACCAAGACCACAATATCTATGCTCGGTATCACCATCACCAATACTCTCCCATGGGAAAAATCATGTATCCATCGTAAAAGCTGCTCCACAAAAATTCAGATTCTTGTTCCGTCGGAAAATCTACTTCACACCTCAACGCCTTCTCATGATTTTCAAAACACAGCTACGGCCAGTTTCAGAATACTGTTCTCATGTAGGGCTCAGCACCCAAACATACACTGATGCTCTTAGATTGAATCCGGAGAAGGGTCCTTCGCCTGGTGGGTGATGCCACACTTACTAACTCTTTTACTTCATTGGAACACCGTAGAAAAGTCGGCGACCTTCCACTTCTCTATGGATAATTCCACGAGAAATGTTTCTCAGAATTCTCTGTTATAATTCCATTCACCAGACGAACTCGACAGGCTCAGTCAGCACATCCTGTCGTCGTTAACCTTGAAATATGTCGAGCAGCACTCGTTCGACTATAGAACGGCATAACATATAACCTTCAAAAGTTCAAAAAAATTCCAATACCTACCTCCTCTCCCTCATTATAGGAATTTTCCTTTCGTGCGCTCCAAGAGAAGAAAAAAAATTATGCTCAAGGTGGAATGAAATCTTTATGAGGCAAAAACTTTTTCGGAAGTGTTCAAGATAATAAACTACAATGGTAGATAACGGTAGCTAAAAAGGTACGAACTCACTGCTCTCAAAAATCAGTGTTTTCTACATAAATATTAAACATGAACACTAAATGATGGGTTGTGATCTAAACAAGGACAAAGCATCACCAAAAATGATCCAGCATGACGTGATATTTACTCAAATACATATAGTGATGATGACTGAGTTAGTAGTGGTGAATAATTATGTAGGGTGAACTGAATATTTATCTGTCTATCTGATATAGCAACAGGAAATTGTAGCTGGAACTAGTGGATTTCAGTACCCGTTGCAAGTTATTTTCTCTGTGTTCCTAGCATATGTCAAGCTCATCTGGTACCTATTCAACCTAAGGAAGTGACAAAGAATCTAGATCTATTGCTATCTATCTATGTGATATCACTAGTGCGATTGATCAAACATGGCGCCCTTCCGATACACCGATATCAGAAGCAATCAAAACATATGATCTAAAAATGATTTCAACCTACGAGAGCTATGTAACACAACCATTGTACTATTCAACACTCTAACAAGATGGAAACGAACCTAACACTCACCAGTGCATCCCATCAAAGCCTCACGCATCCTCACGAAAGCTGGGGTGTTTCTTCGTGTCAATAAATATTCACATTGCAGCAACTTTACTTTATCGAGCTCTAATTTCGCCACCGTTTTGAATACTGCATGGTGTTTACGATGATTCACGTTTATTATGGGACCTTACATATACCTTACATACCTGCCTCTTTGTCATAAGCAGAAACAAATGATATTTCCCTCGAAGACATACTTATACAGCCTGTTCGTTTGTATTGCGAATTTGCTAAAGTTGATTGTTTTCCATAGTTCTCTCCGTTCATGGCATGATGTAAACAGATGAAGTCATAGAAAAAAATCAAGTTCAGCAGGTAAAGCAAGCATAAACGAACAGGACTGTCCATTGTTTTCCCCATGATCTCTGATATTTTTATAATATTGTTATACTATACAGTGTGTCCATTTAGTGCGTAATTCTTCGATATCTCGAAGGCCATAACCAATAGAGAAAAACTTTGGGGAAAAAACTTCTTCAGTTACTGAAGTTCCTCATTTCAAAAATATTTTCAACATTACTGGGTGTTTTATAAAAGCAGGGCAACTGGAAGAAGAGTTTTTTTAAATGGAACACCTAGTATTGTTTAATCGGAATGAATTCCGTCGAGGTTCACCTTAACATCGCTGCAAAAAAAATTGAAATCGGTTACGGCGTTGCCAAGTTATAATGGATAAATCTATTTTTACCATTATTGAAGAGTCATGTTGAATTGGGCATGGTATATTCATTTATTCAAATCTTGAAAATATTTTTGGCATGCGGCAAAAGCAAGGTCCCACGTAAACCAATCCAGTAATTTTGCGACATGTTCTTCAACAGGGTGCTCAATTTTGCATTTGAAATTTTGCAAGATTCAGATGACATTCATCAGAATTTCTCAAATGGAACACCCTGTATTTCAATTCAAAAATTCATTCCGACATCTTTCGCTTTTTTTTCGCTGAATAAAAAATCAAAATCGATTGCGGCGTTGTCAAGTTATGGATAATTTCCTTATTTTGACTACTATTTCAGGGTAATTTGTACGTCATAGTTCTTTCATTTATTTGTATTGTGGAAATATTGCGTTGCTAAGGTATTATCAAAATTGTTCATTGACCATTCATATATTTTTTCACAATAGGAACATTAACAGGCTCTCCAAGTTTGAATTTTTTTCGAATTACACCTATATTTGTGTAATGACCTGTCAAACATCGCCACAATCAAATATATCTTGGATTGATTCGAAGTTTTGCTGAATTCCCTCCCAAAAGCCGCGTATAGTAGAGACATATTGTTTGTATCATCATGTTTACCTCCTTCAAGTTAAATGGAGATTGGGATTGTGGGAATAACGACAATAAAAATGGCCCAGATTTCAAAAAATTGTCCTAATTTTCGCAATCCGCATCTTCATTGTTTGTATTGTAGAAGTTGTTTCAAAGGCAGGCGTTGCTTTTGGCATGTTTGTTTGTTTCACATATTATTTTAATCATAAGTAACAAGATAACGGAATATTTCAAATTTGGACGATGCACATATCGCAAAAATACCTGGATGATCTATGTAGAACTTCGAATGTTATGTGACAAGCAATATTCCCACACTCAAATCAAATAAAGGAACCATCATGACGTACAAATAACCCCGAAATAGTAGTAAAAATAGGGAAATTACTCATAACTTGAAAACGCCGCAACCGATTTTGATTTTTTCTTCAGCAATGAAAAGGCGAATGATGTCGAAATAAATCTGTGATGAAAAATACAGGGTGTTCCATTTGAAAAATTCTTATGATTGTCGTCTGAATCTTACAATATTCAGAATGTAAATTTCAGCACCCTGTAAAGGATTATCTCGCAAGATAACTGGATTGGTATACGTGAGACCTTGCTGTATGCCAAAAATATTTTCGAAATTTCAATAAATAAATATACCATACCCAATTGAAAATGACCCTTCAATAGTAGTAAAATTGGGTTTAACAATTATAACTTGGCAACGCCGCAACCGAATTCGATTTTTTTACAGCGATGTAGAGCTGAACCTTAGCGGAATAAATTTCGAATGAACAATACTGGGTGTTCCATTTAAAAAAACTCGTCTGCGAGTTGCCTCGCTTTTATAAAACATTCAGTATTGTTGGAAATATTTTTGAAATGAACAACTTTAGTAACTGAAAAAGTTTTTTCTCCAAAGTTTTTCTCTTGTGATAATTGATTTCGAGATATCGAAGAATTACGCACTAAATGGACACACTGTATAATGAAATAAAATATCATTTCGTTCATCTTCTCACCAAACTATACAATCCCTGTTTCGTTCAAGGTATATTTGTCCTAGTATATCCGAACAGACTAAGCTCATTTCGATATTCAAAACAGGCGCCTTACCTGACTGAAA